GCTGCGGCTCCTTCGGCCACTTCTGCGCTTCCTGCCGCTGCTGCTGCGGCTTCTGCCGCTGCTGCTGCGGCTTCTGCCGCTGCTGCTGCGGCTCCTGCCGCTGCTGCTGCGACTCCTGCCGCTGCTTCTGGGGCTGCCGCTGCGGCTGACTCCGGAGCTGCTGCTGCCCCTGCTGCTGTTGCTGCTGCTAATGTCTCTTCTTTTGCTGCTGCCGTCAGCAGGGCGGCGGGCTACTTTGCTTCTGCTGCTGCTCCTGCTGCTGCCCCTGCTGCTGCTGCTGCCGCTCACCGGCTCACTGTGTCTGCTGCTGCGGTGACTGTGCTCGCTGCTGCGGTGGCTGCGCTTGCTGCTGCTGCTGCGGCTGCTGCTGCGGCTGCTGCTGCTCCTGCGGCTGCTGCTGCTTCTGCGCAGCTTGGGGGTTATGCTTCGGCCCCTAGAGGGGCTCTTTCTTTTGGTCTTCTGCGCGGCGCTGCTGCTTCTGCTGCTGCTGCTGCCTCTGCTGTCTCTGCTGCTGCTGCTGCCGCTGCTGCTGCTGCGCCCCGTGCTGCTGCGGCTCCGGCTTCTGCTTCTGCTGCGGCTCTTCGCAGCTGCTCCCACGGAGTTGCTCCTGCGTTTGCTGCCTTTGCTGCTGTTGCTGCCGCGCGTGCTGCTACTGCTGCTACTGCTGCTGCTGCTGCTGCTGCTGCTGCTGCGGATAGGAGATGCCGGTGGGGCTGTTTTCTTTGACTGGTTCTTCACAGCGTCAACGTTCACTGCTGTTTCAGCGGCAAGTGCAGCAGCAGCAGCAGCTGCTGCTGCTGCTGCTGCCTTTCGCGCCTCTATTGCCTTCGCGATCTTGCTCTTCTCCCGCTGCTGCTGCTCGCCCTGCTGCTGTTCCTTCTGTTGCTCCTGTGGCTGCTCCTGCTCCTGCTGCTGCTTCTCCTGCTGCTGCTTCTCCTGCTGCTGCTTCTCCTGCTGCTGCTTTTCCTTCTGCTGCTTCTCCTGCTGCTGCTGCTGTTTGTGCTTGTTTGCTGCTGCTGGCTCTGACCGTTTGCTGCTGTGCCGTTTCTGCCGATCAGCGTGCTTGTGGGTTGCTGCTGTTGACTTTTTGCTGCTGGGTGAAGCATGCTTGTCTGCAGCAACAGCAGCAGGCGCCGGTGCTGCTGCTGCTGCTGCTGCTGGTGCTGCGGCTGCTGCTGGCGTGGGCGGCGCCTCCTTCGGAGCAGCAGCTGCTGCTGCTGCTTTCCGTTTGTTGCTGCGTTTGGCATCAGCTGGGTCTGCCTTAGCAGCAGCAGCTGCATCGCTGCTGCTGCTGCTGGCCTTGTCACCGCTGCCGCCTTTGGCTTTGGAGCTGCTGCTGCTGCTGCTGCTGCTGCTATTGCTGCTGCTGCTCTGTTCCTTGCTGCTCGTTTTCTGTTTGGGGCGTTTGTCCTTTTTAATTCGCGTCTGCTTGCCTTCACCGCCTTGCTGCGTCTGCTGCTGCGGCTGGGCCTTCCTCTCGCTCTCCTTCCCGTTCCCCCGCTGCTGCTGCTGCTGCTGCTGCTGCTGCTGCTGCTGCTGCTCGAAGTCTGCGTCGGACTCCTCCTCGTGGTCCGTCATCCACTCCGCGTCGGGCCCCGTCAGGCCCCTCCCCGAAAGTAAATCAGAAATGGAAGTCCAATCTGGATGGTCTTTCCAGTTGCACTCTTCGAGAGCTGTCTGTACAGCCAAGCGCGCCGCCGCGTTCAGCCGCCGGACGCTGCAGCAGCAAACTTGAACTTGAACTTTTTTCTGAGAAACTTCGCGGAAACTTGCGCGAATTTGCGCAAAAGTAGTTTAAAATGAATAAATATTTAAATTAAAATCAAAATGAAAAGAAATGGACAAGAGATTGGCGCGGATCGGAGGCAGGAGGCACACTGACAGCTAAGGAACTTGAACTTGAATTCGAAGAGCCAGCAGCGAAGTAGACCGGAAAAAGAAAACGAAGTTGAAATTAAATTCAAGTTTTCAAAAAAATGAATTTTATTAATTTTAAATTCTTTCAATTAATTTGACTTGGGCAGAAATTGAATTCAACGAAGTGCAAGTTGAACAGGAGTTGACCACGGAAACCGCAGGGAATTGAATGCCAACTGAAGCTAAATAAATGAATCTAAATGCAAATTAAATGCAAATTAAATAAATATAATTTACAATTAAATTAAATGCAAATTAAATGCAAATTAAATGCAAATTAAATGCAAATTAAATGCAAATTAAATGCAAATTCAACAAAATGGAAAAACGAGAAGCTGCAGCAAAGAGGCAAAGGCTCTGCTGCTGCTGCTCGGCTCGGGCCTCCCCAGTCCTTTAAATTTGAATACTGGCAAAATTTTGAATTAAATAAATTAAAAAAATTATATTTTTATTTTATTTGACATTTAAAATGCATTTTAGTGCCAAAAAGACAGAAAAAGAGGCATTTTATTCATTATGGACTTATTTGCTGCAGCAGCTGCAGCAGCAGTTCCAGCAGCAAAAAGTGAAGTAAAAACGCGGAAAAAAGGGCAGCAGCAGCAGCAGCAGCAGCAGCAGCAAGGGAGCAGCAGCAGCAGTCTTCAGAAGCAAAAAAGTTGGAAAAAAAAAGAAAAATAATAAAAAAGAATTTGAAAACAAATTCGAAAAAGTCTCACCCAGGGGCTATCTCGTCGTAGGCCAGCCGAAAGTCCCTTATCTTCGAAGGCAAAACCCAGCAGTAGCTGTTCACCGCCAGACGCAGCGCCTGCACACACACCAACCACTGCTGCTGCTGCTGCTGCTGCTGCTGTTGCTGCTGCTGCTGCTGCTGCTGCTGCTGCTGCTGCTATTGCTGCTGCTGCTGGTGCTGGTGCTGGTGCTGCTGCTGCTGGTGGCGGTCGTGCTGTTGTTGCTGCTGCTGCTGCTGCTGTTGCTGCTGCTGGTGTTGTTGCTAGTACTGCTGCTGGTTTTGGTGCTGTTGCTGCTGCTGTTGCTGCCACCGATGGTGCTGCTGCTGCTGCTGCTGGTGTTTTTGCTGAAGCTGCAGGTGCTGCTGCTGATGATATTGATGCTGCTGGTGTTGCTGCATGTGTTGCTGCTGATGTTCCAGCTGCTGCTGCTGCTGCTGCAGGTGTTGTTGCTGATGCAGCAGTTGCTGCTGCTCGCAAGGCTGCAGTTGCTGCTGCACTACCAGTACTACCACTGCTGCTGCTACTCCTGCAGCTACGCTGCTGCTGCTGCTGCTGCCCGTGCAGCAGCAGCAGCAGCAGCTGCTGCTGCTGCTGCGCGCAATGCCAGCGCCGCTGCCACCGCCGCTGTCACTGTGCCACCCCTGCTGCCACCCCACCGCCACCGCCGCCGCTGCCGCCGCCGCTTTTGCTGCTGCTGCTGCTGCTGCTGCTGCTGCTGCTGCTGCTGCTGCTGCTGCTGCTTACGAGGAGGCGGCCAGGCCTGTGGGCCCTGAGCTCTGGGGGCAGCGGCGGGTTAAGGAAAGGGTCTTCGGGGCTGCAGAGCAGCGCCGGCCACCAGGGCAAGCTTTGCTTCTTGAGCCAAACGAGGGGCTCCCCGCGTTTGCCCACGACTCTGGAGAAGCTGTGCTGCAGCAGGCTGGCCTGCTGCTGCTGCTGCTGCTGCTGCTGCGGCAGCAGCGGCAGCAGCGGCAGCTTCGCCTTCCGCTTCTTCGGAGCCCCGCCTGACGCAGCAGCACACGCACACCCGCACACCTGCTGCTGCTGCTGCTGCTGCTGCTGCTGCTGGCTGAGGGGCGCCCGCGGCGCTGCGCTGCAGCCAGCTGCCGGCCCGCTGCTGCCGCTGCTGCTGCTGCTGCTGCTGCTGCTGCTGCTGCTGCTGCTGACTCACCTTCTGGAGGGGCAGCGGAAGCCCGCGGGCCCCGCAAAGGGCGCTTTTCGGGCATTTGGCTGCTGCGAAAATCCAAAGAAAAAAAGTGAAGAGAAAAAGCGCTGGGGAGTGGAGGCGAGGGCGGCGGGGTGTCTAGACAGCTGGCAGCAGCAGCATGCTGTTGGTCTGCAGCCCCGAGCAGCAAAGGGGAAGCAGCAGCAGCAGCAGCAGCAGCAGCAGCGGGAGGGAAGCAGCAGCAAGCTGCTGCGGCAGCAGCGGCCGCGAGAACGGCGGAGAAAGGCGAGTCCGACGGAGCTCGCGGGCAACGCGGCCGCTGCTGCTGCTGCTGCTGCTGCTGCTGCTGCTGCTGCTGCTGCTGCTGCCCGCCTCCGGCCCCCAGAACTGCTGCGAAGGCCAAACAAACCAAAACAAACTCAAAAAAGATCCCAACTAACTTTGCATGCAGAGCTTTCGCTGCGGCCGCGAGCTGGCGGCCGGAGCGGCGGCCACGCCCCCAGGCCTCGCCGCAGGGCTGGCAGCAGCAGCTGCTGCTGCTGCTGCTGCTGCTGCGCTGCAGCGGGAGAAGCAGCAAACCGCTAAAACTTGGATTTTTATTCAATTATTTTGCAATTAATCCCACTTGAGGTGAATTGTTCTCCAAGTAAACTCCAGATCGCTCGCGAATCGCCCCGCCTTCGCTTCCCCGCAGCAGCAGCTGCTGCGCAGGTCACTGCAGCAGGCGGGGGCCTTTGCTGCTGCTGCTGCTGCTGCTGCATGCTGCAACTTGCATTTTTTATTGTCTTTTTTGCTTCATTTGCTGCCAATATTTGTCTCCCGGCTTCCTGCGGTGCCTTTCTGCTGCTGCTGCTGCCCCTGCTGCTGCTCTGCTGCTGCTGCTGAAGACACGGGTCCGCTGCACGGCTGCCGCGCATGCCTCCTGCGGCTGCTGCTGCTGCTGCTGCTGCTGCTGCTGCAGCAACAGCGCTGCAGCAGCAAGCACTTCCAGGATGCTGGCTTACGATGGGCTGCTGCAGCTCCGCTGCCGAGTGGCCTTCCACCTTCAGTGTATGTACACTAGAGCAGTCTTGCTAAAACAATGAAAATAGAGTTCTGCAGCTTCGCAGTGTAGAATTGGCCCTCTAAAACAGCAGCAGCAGCAGCAGCAGCAGCAGCAGCAGCAGCAGCAAGGGCTGCTGCTGCAGTGGGGCTGCTGCTTGGTAGAGTAGTTGAAACTTCCTCACTCAAGAGCTCCAGCTTTTCTTACTTGAAGACGAAATCTTTTGAGTCTTTGCTTCAGCACTTTCGCCTTTCTGCTGCTGCTTTCTTCCAAAAGAAAATAAGTCAAAAGGACTTCAACTCAAATCCAACAAAAGGCCTTTTTTGGTTTTTAGTTAATTTGAAAGTTTGAAAAGTTCCTCATGATGGATTCATCTTGTGTTCAAAACATGCATTATAATTCGCCAAGGAAGATCTTCTCTTCTCCAGAATTCATTTATGTCATTTAATTCTTTTCTATTATTGTGGAAAGGAGCAGCAAAGTGCAGAGTTTGCAATTAAGGAAGAAACTTTAAAGTGGCGAAATTCAAGTTGCGCTGCAGCGGAAACCTGAACAAAATGGAAAGCTGAAGCCGCTAAAAAGGCGCAAACGGAGAGAAACTGGTGAAATAAAAGCAGCACTTTGCAAAATTATTTGTTGGATTTTCGAAAAAGGTCTTCAAAGATTCTTTTGAGGAGAATTCAACTTCGTGTCAGTTGCGTTCCACGCGGAGCTGCGCATACACCCGAACAGCGCCTGCGCAGCGCGCCGCGAGGAATCCGCGGGAATCTGCACTTCTTTGAATTTGAATTTGCCAAAAAGAATTTCGAAAAGTGAAAACAAAGTTCTGCGGGAATGGCCGGCTCGGGGGCCCTTTGGATTTCGGAAAACGGCGCCGCTGCAGCTCCAAACGAGCCCTTCAAGAAGCGGCGAAAGCTGCACGCGGGGGGCTCCGTCTTCGCCTTTATTGGCGCGGAGTTTTGGCATTTGTCGAAACTTGAAGAAAGAAAAAAACTCCAGACTTTCTTGCTGCCCTTCGGGGCCCCCCGAGCCGAACTTGAATGCCCAGCCCTCAGCCTCCCGCAAGCCGTCCGCTTTCTCGTGCGATCCGCCACTCCAGCGCTTCCTGAGCAGCTTCGGAGGCTTCCTGCTGCTTCCTTTTCGGATTTGAAGAGAAAGACTTTCCAAAAAAGGCCTCGAGACCCGCCACCAAAGGCCCCTTTGCTGCGCCCCGCCTGCTGCAGCTGCAGCAGGCCGTCAGATCTGCAGCAGCAGCAGCAGCTCAGAAGCAGCTGCTGCTTCCAGACCTCCCTTTCGCCTGCTGCATTCAGCAGCAGCAGCAGCAGCAGCGGCAGCAGCAGCAGCAGCAGCAGCTTCCCTGCCCTTCTCTCTCCCTCAGCAGCAAACCCTCAACTGCCTCCACGAAGTGACGCAACAGAAGCTTCTGCATGCCCAGGCTCTTTGCTGCAGTGCCCCTCTTTGCTGCAGTGTCCTTCTTTGCTGCAGCACAACTCTTTGCTGCAGCACAACTCTTTGCTGCAGCACAACTCTTTGCTGCAGTGCAGCTCTTTGCTGCAGTGCCCCTCTTTGCTGCCTGCGAGGAGTTTGGCGCGGCGGCTTCGTTTTGAGCTGGGGCTTCATTCTGCTGCAGTGAGTTTTGCTGCTGCACTTCCCACTTTTCAAGAAAAGCATTTTGCTGCTGCTTCCTTGCTGCTGCTTCCTTGCTGCTGCTTTCTTGCTGCTGCTGTCCAGACTATTCCTTTTGAAAGACTGCCCAAGAAGCTGCCCAAAGCCCCCCCGCTGCTGCTTTGGACAAAAGCCCGCAGCAAGTTGCTGCGCGGGAGGAAGCAGGGGGCCGCAGCAGCAGCAGCAGCAAGTTTCAGCTGCTGCTACTTCAGGCGAGGCGCTGCAGCAGCAGCAGCAGCAGCAGCTTCTGCAGCTGCGCCTCTTTCGCCTCTTTTTCCCCCAGAAGAACTTCAGTTGGAGCTCGAAAGCTGCGAAACGGGATGTGTTGTTGTGGCAGTGCCCTGCTGCAGTGGAAGCAGCAGCCCTGCTGCTGCTGCTGCTGCTGCTGCTGCTTCGCTTTTCGCGTTTCCGCCGCCGCTGCTGCCGCTGCTGCACAGCAGTAAGTTGACTTCAACTCAAGTTGAATTTATAATGGCAGCTTTAATGGACCAATTGGCACTTTTAATGGACCAATGGTCTCAGGAAAAAGTTCAAAACTTGGAGAAATATTTGCAGAGCAGCACGAAGCAGCAGCACGAGAGGCAGCAGCGCTGCTGCTGGAGTTTCTCTGCATGGCGGAAAGCTGCAGCGCGGAAACTTCGGGGAAAATAAAAGAAAAGCAGCAAAATAATACTTCATTAGATCCCATTTTTGATTTTAAATCTTATTTTGAAGAAAAAAAGAAGAAATTCGACATTTATTTGCCCCAGGCATGAGCTGTTCCGATTTTTTTTTTGAATTTCAATTCAAGTTTTTGCGCAGTCGAAGGAAGAGGCACAAGCGGCTTCACAAGGCCCCTCAAATGATTCAAATTCGGGTTTGTTTTTATTTATTTATTTTTATTTTCAAATCTAAAAAAGTAATTCATTAAAGCTGCTTCAGACGCAAAGCCGCAAGCAGCAGCAGCCGTTCAAACTGCTGCTGCTGCTGCTGCTGCTGCTGCTGAGGCAGCGCCGGGAAGCGAAAAAGAGAAGGACGAAGCAGCAAAAAGAATTTCAGGAATTGTTCTGGAGAGCCAAAGAAATTCGGAACACAGCTCTGTTTCCTTCAAGTTGCTGCTGCCAGCAGCAGCAGCAGCAGCAGCAAACGAAGCTGCTGCTGCTCAGGAGCAGCAGCGGGGAGCTGCCCCAGAGGGCGAAGAAGACAGTGAGATTATTTATTTAATAAATAAAATAAAAAGACAAAGAAAAGCCGCTGTTGCTGCTGGTTATCTGCTGCTGCTGCGCTGCGAAGTCTTTCAAATTCCGGACTTGAATTATTTTTCAATTTCCAATTTGCTGCTGAAGTGCTGCTGCAAGAAGACCCCGAGCTGCTGCAGCAGCTGGCCAAAGGCTTCCGCCGCCTCATTTCCCGAAAGGCTCTTCGCCAGGAAAAGGAAGCAAAGCGCCGGCAAGGGCTGCGGCAGCAGCTGCAGCAGCTGCAGCAGCTGCAGCAGCAGCAACAGCTGCAGCAGCAGCAACAGCTGCAGCAGAAGCAGCAAAACGAAAGCAAAGAGCTTCAAGAGATAAAAGACAGTGAGACAAAAGTCAATTAGTGCCTAAAGTCCATTCCTTGCTGCTGCTGCAGCTGCGCCACTTTCCCCACATCTGCTGCGCTTTTCCTCCTGTTCTTGCTGCTGCTGCTGCTGCTGCCTGTTGCTGCTGCTGCCTGTTGCTGCTGCTGCCTGCTGCTGCTGCTGCCTTGTTGTGCTGCTGCTGCTTCTACTCTTGCTGAGTCTGCGCACTTCAGGCCAAGAGGAAGCCTCGCCTCTGCAGCAAATGGCAGCAATTGATAATGTTCTCTTTTGCTGCTCTGCAGCAGATCTTCAAGAAGATTCTCTTTTTGTTAACATTCAAGACTGGACTGCAGCGCTCCTAGCAGCAACGCAGCAGCGAGCTGCGGCCTGCAGCAGCCTGTGGCAGCAGCAGCAGCAGCAGCAGCAGCAGGAGCAGCGGGAGCAACAGCAGCAGCAGCAGCGGGAGCAGCAGGAGCAGCGGGAGCAGCAGCAGCAACAGCAGCAGCAGCAGCGGGAGCAGCAGCAGCAGCAGCTGCTGCTGCTGCAGAGGGTAGGGAGCGGGTGTCCCCCTGCTGCTGTCGTTGCTGCAGCAAGGACAGCAGCAGCTCGCGTTGCTGCAGCAGCAGCAAGAGCCTTTGGCTACCACTTCAGCAACAAAGGTAAGAACAGCAGCTTTTCTTTTTTTCTTTATTTAATTTATTTAATTTATTTAATTTATTTAATTTATTTAATTTATTTAATTTATTTAATTCATTTAATTTATTTAATTTATTAATCTGTTGGTGGCTAAGATTTGGCATTTGAGGCAACAGCAGCAGAAAAAGCAGCAGCACTTTTCCCCGTAAGATTTCATTTTCTTCAAACTTTCAAAAGAGCTTCCTCCCTTATGCTGCTGCTGCTGCTGCTGCTGCTGCTGCTGCTGCTGCTGCTGGTGCTGCAGCAAGAGAGGACTGAATCGGCGCTGTTTGACTTGTTTGCTGCTGCTGCTGCTGCCTGCGCCCTCGTGCTGCTGCAGCAGCAGCTTCTGGACGGGGGTGAGCTGCTGGCTTTTGTTTTATTTTATTATTTTATTTTATTTTTAAATTTAAAATCAATTTAATTTATTTTTAAATTTATTTTAATTAATTTGTTTCATTCTTTCAGGAAAGCTGCAGGCCCGCTGCTTCCTTTCGCAGCTCTTAGCAGCACATCCGTGTCTTCAGGGGCCCCTTTCAGTTGCTGCAGCAGCACTTCTTTCGTGAGCAGCAGCAGCAGCAGCTTTTTCATTATTCTTTTAATACAAAAGTGACTGTAATTTGCTGCTGCTGCTGCTTAAAAGCTGCTGCTGCTCATGTGCCTATGAGTGCCTGCTGCGCAGCAGCAGCAGCAGCAGCAGCAGCAGCAGCATTCTGCTGCTGCTGCTGCTGCTTTCGTGCACTCTTCGCTTCTTTTCATTTCCCCTCATGCGATTTCCTTCTGCAGGCCAGAGCCAGGGGCTCCCCTTGGCGCAGCAGCACCCCCAGCAGCAGCAGCAGCAGCAGCAGCAGCAGCAGCAGCAGCAGCAGCAGCAGAGAAAAAGAAAAGGAACAGCAGCAGCGGAGAGTTGAATGCAGCAAAAGTTTCCGTCGTGGCAAATTGCTGCCGCCTTTTTCCCCGCGTTTCCGTTTTTGTTTCTTTTGATGGGTAATAAATAAACAGAATTAATAATAAAATAAATAAATATTTAATAATAAATGAATAATAAATAAATAATAAATAATAAGTAATAAATAAATGATAAATAAATAATAAATAAATAATTAATAATAAAAATAATACTAATAATGGCAATAATAATAATAGTAATAGCTGCAGAGCCTAATCGATTTTCGTGCTGCAGTTAAATGCTTGCTGCTGCACTTATTAATTTGCTGCTGCAGGCTGCTGCAGCCGCTGCAGCAGGAGCTGCAGCAGCAAGGATTTCATTTCGAAGTTTTGGGGCGGGAGGAATCAGCAAAAGAGAGGCAAGCAGCTTGTGCTGCTGCTGCTGCTGCTGCTGCTGCTGCTGTTGCTGCTGTTGTTGCTGCTGCTGCTGCTGCTGTGCGCGCTAGGGCCAATGTGCCAGCATCAGCAGCAGCACGTGCTGCTGCAGATGTAATAATTAAACAAATTTTTAATTATCAAATTGTGGCTGCAAGTGCATGCACAACTGCTGCTTGCTGCTTTCACAGCTAGCCCGCAATCCTCTGCTGCTGCTGCTGCTGCTGCTGCTGCTGCTGCTGCTGCTGCATTTCGCTTCTTTATATCTTTTTGCTGCTCCACACTCGCCCGCTCTCAGGCTGCAGCAGGCTGCTGCTGCTCCTTACCTGCTGAGCCACAAGTCCCAGGCGCCGCTGCTGCAGCAGCTGCAGCAGCAGCAGCAGCAGCAGCAGCAGCAGCAGCGCTTCCTCGTGGCCTTCAGCGCGTGCAGCCCTCTGGTGAATCTCTTGCCGAATTAAACTCAATAAAACAATTTTCAATTTTAAATTAACTAATTAATTAATTAATTAATTAATTAATTAATTAGTTAATTAATTAATCAATTAATTAATTTATAATTAAAAGCTGTTTGTTTAACTAAATATATAATTTTAAAATTTGATTTATTTAAATTCTTTTCCCCAGGACTTCCCCGATGGCATCAACTTGCACCTGCGGCAGCAGCAGCAGCAGCAGCAGCAGCAGCAGCTGCAGCAGCAGCTGCTGCCGAAGCGGCGGGGCCATTCTTTGCGGTATTTGGCGAATTTAAAAAAATAAATAATTGAAAATAATTAAAATAATTAAAATAATTAAATAATTTAAATATAATTTAAACAATTTAAATAATTTAAGTAAATAATATTCATTTTAATTCAAATTCATTTCAACTCAGACTCCTTGTGGACCCCGAGGCGCACAGCTCTGCTGCTGCTGCTGCGCTGCTGTGCTGCTTGGGCAGAGCGGCGAAGCAGCAGCAGCAGCAGCAGCTGCTGCAGCAGCAGCAGCAGCAGCTGCTGCAGCTGATTGAGCCGGGCTTGTTGGTGAGACTGGAAGCAAAAGCAAAGAATAAACAAATAAAAATAAATAATTTATAATTCAAAAAATAAATAAAGAGAAATAATGAACAACTCCTTTGCCCCCTTTCTGAGGTGTACGTACACCCCAACTTGCGCAGGCCGTCGGCGCCCCACACTTGCTGCTGGATGTGTCTTTTAGGTGAGAAGTGCTGCAGCAGCAAAATGCAACTGAGACCACTGCTGCTGCTGCTGCTGCTGCTGCTGCTGCAGCTGCTTCGTGGTTGCTGCTGCTGCAGACACAAAGATGCTGCCGAAGAAACTCCTGGAGCTCTCGGTGCGGCCAATTCCCACTTCAAAACAAACCCCACAAACTCAAACCCTCCTTGCTGCTGCTGCTGCTGCTGCTGCTGCTGCTGCTGCTGCTGCTGCTGCTGCTGCAGATGCACACGAGGCGCTGCCTGGTTGTTGCAGTGGGCCTTTCTGCTGCTGCTGTTCTTCCGCTGAGTGTCTGGAGCCAGTCTTTAGAAAGGCAAGAAAAGGAAATTTGATTTTATTTCTTTTTAATCTTTTAAAAAGATTAATTAATCAATTTAACAAATATAATTAATTGATTTAATAAAAGGATTGATTAATTAATTTAATAAAAAGAATTAATTAATTAATTCAATAAAAAGAATTAATTAATTAATTAAAAGAACTAATTAATTAATTTAATAAAAGAATTAATTAATTTCTTTTTAATTCTTTTTTTTCATTCTCAAACTCCGCCAGAATGGAAGTCGACGTCCTTTGCTGTCCCTCCTTCGCTGCTGCAGGTACTCCAGCATTTGCAAATAAAACAAATAAATAAAAACAAATAAATAAAAAACAAATGAATAAAAAAATAAATAAACAAACAAATGAATAAATAAATAAATAAATAAATAAATAAATAATAAATAAATAAATAAATAAATAATAAATAAATAAATAAATAAATAAATAAATCAAAAAAGGCCTTTAAGTTTTTGTCTTTGCAGCGGCTCTTCTGCTGGCGCTGCTCCAGAGGATTCAAAGTAATGAATTTCAGTTTTCAGATTTTTGGATTTTATTTTTGAATGGAGAATTTCTTTTCATTTTCGGAGTTTTATTTTGCATTTTAAATATTTATTTTAATTTTGGATTATTTTCTTTTTTGAAATATTCCATTATTCAACTTTTTCGATTTGATATGGACTTGCATGCAGAAGCCGGCGCAGGGGGCCCCTCCCCCGTGGCGCTGCCGATAACTTACCTGGCCTATCACCAGCTTCTTCAGTGAGAAAACAAAAAGAAAATAAAAAAGAATAAAACAAAAGAATTGTTTTTATTTTAAATTGAAATAAATCTTTTGCGAATTGAAATTCGACAAAACGAATCCGCAGGCAGCCCGGCATGTGCGCGTACACCGCAGGTGTCTGTACAGCGCACTTGAAAGCCACCCAGAACCTCCAGCCGCTCGACGGGCTCTGCGAAGGCTCAGTGCGTCACTTTTGTTTAAATTGAAAGTTTAAAAAGAATTAAATGCATTTTAATTCATTTAAAATGCATTAACGGAGAAAATCCGTTTCTTTTCACCCAGAGCGCCGCCACGCAGCCGCGGCAGACAGACCACTGGCTCGCTCGCCGCGCAGCCAGAATAAGGGCTTAATCTCGCCCAGTTTCTTTGAAATAAATATAAATATTAAAACAATTTGATGAAAATAATTCAAAAGTAATAAAAAAAAGAAATTATTTTCATTTTACGCGAACGAGAAATTCTGTCCTTCTGCAGAGGCTGAGCGCGGCGGCGGCGAAGTACGCCAGGTGGGAAAGTGCATGCATGCTTTTACTTCTTTCATTTCAGTTATTTATTTTCTTTTATTTCATTTTAATTTAATTTAATTTAAATTATTTTTTTTCTTTATTTCGTTTTATTTCACTTCAGAGAAAACCTCCACATTGAGGCCCCCCTCATCTCCCACTGGCGCTTCCCACCTGCAGCCAAACCGGCTGCAGAGGCGGAGCCCCAGCAGCAGCAGCAGCAGCAGCAGCAGCAGCAACAACAGCAGCAGCAGCAGCAGCAGCAACAGCAGCAGCAACAGCAGCAAATTAGCTGAGCGTTGCGAGCCCTCGCCTGACGCTGTTTCTTTGTTCATGTCTCTCTTCTTTTAAACCTTTTAAATAAAATGAAAAACTATAATTATATTATTTAATAATATTTAATAATGTTTAATAATATTTAATATTTATATTTTAGGGTTTAGGGTTTAGGGTTTAGGGTTTAGGGTTTATATATTAAATTTAATAGAAGTGGGAGCAGCAAAAACGAAGTAAATAGCGACTGAGACAAAAAGGAATAAAAGCAAAGGGCTTATTATTGGAGTTCGTTCACGCCCCCCCGCCTCCTCCAAACCCTAAACCCTAAACCCTAAACCCTAAACCCTAAACCCTAAACCCTAAAGGACAAAGCAGCCAGCTTTATTTGTCTTTGCTGCTTTCGTCATTCGCTCCTAAAGACAAAAACAAAAACACAAACAGAGGTTTTATTTCTTCTCCCTTTCCTCCCCCCCTTTCGACCTTCGAGGGTTTAGGGTTTAGGGTTTAGGGTTTGTCTGGGTTTAGGGTTTAGGGTTTAGGGTTTGCCTGACCCCGTTCCTTTTCCTGTGCGTCTAAAAGCCTCATTGTCCTGAACGCATGCAAAGGAAAACAAAAACAAACAAAATGAAAATTAAATTAAATTCTTTTCAGGAAATTAAATTAAATAAAATTCTTCTGCAAACCCCCCGCAGCACTCGAGCCGCTCAGGTGTACGTACACCTCAGCACCAAACAAAAGCTCCTCGCTCCGCCGCCGCCGCCGCCGCCGCCGCCGCCGCCGCCGCCGCAGCAGCAGCAGCAGCAGCAGCAGCAGCAGCAGCAGCAGCAGCAGCAGCAGCAGCAGCAGCATTGCAGCAGCAGCAGCATTGCAGCAGCCGCAGCAGCAGCAGCAGCAGCAGCAGCAGCAGCAGGGGGAGTGGCGCACCAGTTGAAGACGGCGAGGAAGGCCAGCAGCAGCAGCAAAAAGCCCGCAACTAAGTTGAAAACAAAAGAATCTCCAAAACTCAAATATAACAAATAAAAACACAACAGCAGCAAAACTCCGCTGCTCATATTCACCACCTGCAGCACTTTCCCCCGCCCCCTCCCCAACGCCAAGTCCAAAGCCTCGCTCAAACCCAGGGGGCCCCCCTCGGGGGGCCCCCCTGGGGGCCCCCCTGGGGGCCCCCCTGGGGCCCCCCCGGGGGGCCCCCCCGGGGGCCCCCCTGGGGGCCCCCCGGGGGCCCCCTCGGGGGGCCCCTCAGGGGGGCCCCCTGCTGGGTGTTGGTTTGGGAGTTTGCTGCGGTGCATGGGAAGGCGGGAAAGGTTTGTTTTGCTGCTGCTGCGGAGGGCAAACGAGTGAAGACTGTTTGCTGCTGCAGCGGGGCGGTGTTCAGGTTCGGGTGTACGTACACCCGGTTGCAAGCCTGGAAGCGAAGGCTGCGGAGAAAGCCCGTCAGGTCATTTTAAAGAATTAAAAGAATTTAAATTCCGGATTGAACAAAACAGAAGAAAGAGAACGAGGGAAGTGCTCAGCGGGGTACTCGGGGGGCCCCCAGGGGCCCCCGGGCACCTCGGGGGCCCCCCGCCTGCATGCAGCCCCCACTCTGCGGGTTTGCTCTTCTTTTTCCGCTCCGAGGCTCGAAAAAAGCAAAGTTTTGCATTTAAAAGATAAATTGAATTTAATTGGAAATAAAAAGTGCAGTTTCGTGGAGTGTTTCGGTGTCGCTGTTGGCGTGGTTGGGGTGTATGTACAGCTGGCGTGTGCGCGGGCAGTCTGCGGCGGGCGGAGTGGGTTCATTTTTGTTCGTTTTTGTTCGTTTTTGTTCGTTTTTCTTTTAAAAAAGTGGAGAAATTGTTTTTAATTTTGAATTATTTGTTGAGTTTTGCAAGCAGCTGAGCAGAATGTCGCTGGACGAGGTGGAACACCCGGAATTCAAGTTTCTGCTGATCCCGTACGACATCGACAAGCCCGTGCAGCAGCTGATCTTCAAGGGAAAAGAAGCTTCTTTCCGCGATCTTTTGAAAACTCATTTAAATAATGAAAAAATTAATTGTTTAAACAAAAAAAACTTCGACAACTTCCGCGAAGAACTCAAAAAAAAGGCCGACGGAAAGATCGACGACCAGGGCCTCGAGCAAGTCCTCCAGGGCTCCTCCCAGAACTACCAGGTCACTCCTGCTGCTGCTGCTGCTGCTGCTGCTGCTGCTGCTGCTGCTGCTTAAGGCTTCGTTGCTGCTGCTGCTGCTGCTGCTGTTAGTGTTCTCACTGCTGCTGCTGCTGCTGCGGCGCGGGGATTTCAGTTGGAGCCGCCAATGTTGCTGCTGCTGCTGCGCCGCCCCCGCGCGCACCCGCAAACCCTAAACCCTAAACCCTAAACCCTAAACCCTAAACCCTGCTGCTGGCGCGCAGATAATCCCGCTGACGCTGCCAACGAAGGCCAACAACTTCAAAGGAATTAATGCTTACATCGACAGCGTCGGAAGAATTAAAGACATTCCCAAAAACGCCAGAGCTTCCCGCGTCTGCTCCACAGGTGCTGCGGTGTATGTACACCTCAGCTGCTGCTGCTGCTGCTGCTGCTGCTGCTGCTGCAGCGCCGGTGCACGCGCTGTTTCAGCTTCGTCTCCGCGGCTCGGCGTCTTTTGCTGCTGCTGCTGCTGTGCTCTCTGCTGCTGCTGCTATAGACCTAAGAATTGCTGCTGCTTCTGCTGCTCCTGCAAATCTATGAAGTGCTGCTGCTGCTGCTGCTGCTGCTGCTGCTGTTGCAGCTGCTGCAGCTGCTGCTGCCGCAGACCCATGGGCAGCTGCTGCAACTGCTTCCACTTGCTCTAGCTGGCTCCGGCCCTCACCCCAGCTGCCGCTGCTGCTGCTGCTGCTGCTGCTGCCGCTGCTGCTGCTGCTGCTGCTGCTGCTGCAGACATTCGAGGCGACTGCTTCTTGTCTCTGGTTTATGACGATGAAGAAAAGTTCGAAAGACAAAATTTGACTTTGGAGGATTTCGAAGAACTTATGAAAAACCCCCCCGAGGCCAAGGGAAGGTAAATAAATAAAGAAATAAATAAATAAATAAATAAATAAATAAATAAATAAATAAATAAATAAATAAATAAATAATTAATTAATTAATTAATGGTTAGTTGTGGGGTTTTGCTGCTGCTGTTTATTTGCTGCTGCAGATGGAGCGAGACGCAGGCAACGATGCAGCTGCTGCAGCAGCAATCCGGGGCTGCCAAGCCTGAGGAGGGTGGGCGCAGCAGCAGCAGCAGCAGCAGCAGCAGCAGCAGCAGCACTAGCAGCAGCAGCAGCAGCAGCAATTGTGCCAGTAGTAATAGTGCTTCTAATTCAAAAGCAGAGTCAAAGTGCCTCCAGTAGCTGCGAAACAGTAGTCACAGAAACGCCAAAAAGACGCAGGTGCTGCAGCAGCAGCAGCAGCAGCAGCAACAGCAGCAGCAGCAGCAACAGCAGCAGCAGCAGCAGCAGGAAAGGGACATTTGTTTTGCGGGAAAGTATTTATGTTTTGCTTTCAGCGCCGCGGAAGCTGAAGTGCGAAAACTGCGGAAAAGAGGTGGGCTTTGGGGTGTATGTACACCTCGCGGGTGTACAGACGGCCCGCGCGTTGGGGTGTACGTACACCTCGCGGGGTGTACGGGGGCTGCCGGCGTCGCCGAAAAGGCCAAATGGACCGGAAAAAAGCGAATAAAAAGAAGCAAAAGAGGAAATAAATCATTTAATTTTCTTTTTTATTCAAAATGATGCATTATTTGTTTGTTTTTGCAATTCTTTTGCTGCTCAGGACCTGCCGCTGAAGAAGTGCAGCAAGTGCAGCAAGTCGTTCTACTGCAGCGTGCAGTGCCAGCGGCAGGACTGGCCTCTCCACAAGCGCATTTGTTCCAATTAATTGTTTATTTTATTTATTTATTTTATTTTATTTATTTATTTTATTTATTTATTTTATTTATTTAATTATTCTTTTCTTCCAAAGTTCAAAACACTCAGCGCGAGGCCCCAGCCGCGCCTGGAGCCGTTTACACAGCTGTCCGGGAAGTGGATCTGCTGCTGCAGCAGCAGCAGCTGCTGCTGCAACTGCTGCAGCAGCAGCAGCAACTGCAGCAGCAACTGTCGCAGCAGCAGCTGCAGCAGCACCGGCAACTGCTGCAGCAGCAGCTGCAGCAGGAACTGCAGCAGCACCGGCAACTGCTGCAGCAGCAGCTGTAGCGAAACTGCAGCAGCACCGGCGACTGCTGCAGCAGCAGCTGTAGCAGGAACTCTTGCAGCAGCAGCAGCAGCTGCAGCAGCAGCTGCAGCTGCAACTGCAGCAGCAGCAGCAGGAACTGTTGTTGTTTAATTTGAATTACAATTCGGTGTTATTAGCCCAAG